CTGCGTATTTCTAAATAAGAAGCTCAGATAACACAAAGCGAGCGACTTCGTGTCTGTGTGCCATGTAATGCTGATGATCACCCGAGACGGAGAATTTAATGGCATTTCGGTCGTAGATATGACATATTATGCGTTTCTCGAAGTTGAAACGAGAAGAATCGCATGGCCCATTGACTGTGGGCTGCAGCAACCCTGATCGAGTTCAGGGTTCTTGGAAATTTCTCCGCCCTGAAACTACTGCAGGGGAATGTCTTCGAGCGGGAAGGGTGCAGAGCTCCTTGTACGGAAGTGCATATATGATCGCATTGGGTACAGTTGTATAGCTGTACCTACGGTAATGTAGATGCAAGCCACTCGGCTGGACCCATCAATGTACCGTACCGTACATATCCAATTTCAATTTTCGATCTGTAAAAAATGGACAATCAAACACCCCCGACACCGAGGACCGAGAAAGAAAGAAAAAACCCCATTTTCTGTGAGGTTGAGACTCGGTGGAATGCGACGAGATGTCTGTTTCCTACTTGAGCATTGTACTTTTGTAGCCTCGGCGATAATTCTAGACAATTGCGTACGTAGTGTCTGAGCTAGAAACACGATCGGTGCGAGTCAACTGTTGGCAGAGGCGCAGTGTGATTAATGGAATCTTATAGGATTAATCGATTGTTGGGCGACGCAAGAATTTTGAAATTGAGAGGTAGAAAATGAAATCACGAAACATAAAATAAAATATTAATGCTGACCCTAGTCGTTCAGGTATGTAATTGTGTACTATGTAGGTAGGTAGTATGTAGCGAAACTTTACGAAAGTAGCGTAAATAGGGCGGTCCTTCCCGAAACGATTTCCACTTTTTTACGAACGACCCGGCGGGATGGTCACTGGGAACCTTCTTTCAGACTGGTCGTAACCTCCCTTTAAGCTTGCATTAGCCTCGCAGCTTCTTGTACTTAGGCGGATGCAGTGGTAGTTAATGTTTCTAAAGATGCATAAAAGTGAAAAATGTTTACTTCGATCGAGACCCCTATTAGACAAAAAGGGGCAACTCGTGAGGTCATCAAGCAGGTTGTATTCCCGTTCGAGACGGCGATGAACCTTAATTCGAAGCCTTGAAGGCGCGGGTTGGTTCCGATCTTCGTATGTCTAAACCGGAAAAGAAAATGAGGCAACAAAAATGAAAAAGATCTCACTTAATATGGGGTAATGTAAGGTTGTACGCGACCCGACGGTTCGGGAAAGGAGGGGGTTTTGTGTGTGATCTAGAGATCTGATTGATGGGAAACCTGTCAAACTGGGTGACGTTTCCCTCCTCCACCTGTTTGCTGGCTAGCCGAATCCATGGGGAACGAGTTTGATACATATTAGATGGTAGTGTTTGTTCAGACGGTCCCGGTCAAGGAGAACGGATAGACGACATTGCTCCCCCAACAGTTACATAGATCTCGCGGTCATTCAAGGGACATCGCTAGAACGAGTAATCTAAATAGATAGGTACGTAGGGATGCACGAGCTCATCTTGCATATTCGACAGTCGATGGTCGGTAGACGATGAGACCTAGGCCTAGGTACGCGCAAATCACAAGTGTCTGAGATTTAGATAAGAATAAAAGATTGCCGTAAAAATAGGGCAAAAAGAAATAGTTCCGATTAACGAGATCTTCGTCTCGCATGATCCCGTTCTGCCAGATCTGAAGCTATTGGCTTTGGTCTGACCCTGAGTATCGAGAAGTAGAGAGAACCTCGATGTTACAAGAGACCTGTCATAATGACTTATCCCGAACAGCCCGAGGTCGATTTCATCTACAAGGCGACCTTTCCTTGTCATGTCTTATATCCTGGCTATCTTATGTCGTTGGTTAGTTTTGATTGTTCACTAATCAAAGTATGGATTCCAAGTCATAAATGATCGCAAAGTTCAAAAAAATGTGCGTGATAGGTATAAGAGAATCAAATCCATCGTTTCAAAGATTCATGCCGGCGCTGTGTAGCTATCGTGTCTGTGTAGTGTACAGTCTAAACAGGGGGTATCTATCAACCTGGATCCAGCCCAGCGCGCGCCCAGTATGGCTCAACAACCCTCAACAGAACAAATGTGTAATGTGCCCAAAGCATCCCTTAGGTGCTACCCAATACACTGTACAAGTTTCCGAACAGACAAGTCCCAAAATCCGATCAGAGTACAATCTCGACACCGTTGGTTCTAGCAAGTCCCTGCGGAAGACTGCTGGTCCAGGTGAACGAAGAGAACAAAGGAAATGTGTGAATAACCCAGAAAGTCTATATGCAAAGCCGCTCTTTTCCATCTCGAAACCCAAAACTTTTGTAGTCCATCCCAGATCCTTTTTTTAGATATTACCCTCAACATCAACCATATTGCTTAACCCGTTTGACTCCGAATGATATTAAAATGAATATTCGCAAAAGTCAAGTGAGAAGCGTTTTGTCGGCGGGGTTTTCGGGGTAACAATGCGTCTCCAAGACACAAGGGATGAGTTTGGTATCGGCTGATGCATGACGAAGGCCCTAGTTTCATCGGTCCGAGCCAGCCAGATGCAGCGTCCGACCGAGGAACAAGCGATTGTTCCGAAACACTCGAGGCCGTCCATCTTGTGATCATTGAGTCTTGTATGATGCAAAATTGCTTAAGAGAAACCGTGGCATCCGACAATAAACCCCGCGAAGTCCGAAAAATTCATAAACCCAATCCCCATCTAAATGTAACGCCGCTGACAGTTAAGATACTGGAAGATGCCACATGTGAAACCGTGCTGTTGCTCCTTCTCCCTTGCTAAGAGGGAAATAGAGTGGCGGCGAGCCGAGGGTGTATTGGATAGGAATGCAAAATATTAAAAAGGATGTATCGGAATGCGTCGGTCATAGCTCAACTGCCATGGCGCGCAAAAGATGGTGTACAAATCGAAGAGTAATGATTAAAAAGGTCGTAACATGAATCGCAGGCTCGGATTATCGCTCGTGCTCACTGCCCGTAGAAGGGCAATAGCGGTAGAAAGATTGAAAGTTACGGCGGCTATTGGCAAAGTTGATTAAGAGCCAGAGTGATAGCCGCGTAATTGCAGTTTCGTGTCGCAAATCTCCGAAAAGGGATTTATCGAGGCTTGGGCCTCGGGGGAGGCTTGGGCACTCCAGTTGTGTCATAAGCTCCGCGTCCCATGTTGGCCATTGTGAATTCACCGGCAATCATGCTGGAGTTTGAAATCTTGTGTAGAAAGCTGTAAGAAAATGAAAGTCAGCCCGTGCTCAAGAGATTACAATGGCTCATATATATACAGCCGCAAGTATTCATGTATACAAGCCCATCATCGCCGCTGTGGCTCGCGATAGGTCGCATCGACCACTTTGCGCAGTCGAAGGCAGCAGAAAATAGAAACTTGCGGAAGCTGTGGGTGAAATTTGATGCTGCAGTCTGACTCACATTTTTAGGCGTCGTTGCGCAACGACGTGGGAAGGCCGGATGGCACTGAGATGGTAAGTAGATTCGGAAAGGGGATTGGCGTAGGTACTGGGGCGGCGATGCAGCGAGAGCTGGGATCTTGGCCGAATAGCAGGAGACCTTGGGGGTTGGCTGAAAAAAAGTAGGTAAAGGTACAGTACGACTTGCGTATGGGTTGGATCGCAATTAATATCTGAGGTCAGCACCGAAGCGTCAACGGGATGACGGCAGGATTATATATTGGTATAGTTCCCAATATAGACTTGTCAGTGTAAGTCTGTCGGCTCGGTATGTTGCAAGCGATATTATGATGGAAGCTGAAGCATCCGATGGCTTGTGAAGCTGAGACAAGCAGAGAAGATTGCTTAGAAGCCTGGTCCTTTGTGTGGTTCCTTTGTTGGAGAGCAAAGTCACGCAGGTTTCGGGAGACTGAGGTATTATAGGATTTTGTGTCGTCGTGCTATCGTCTTTGTCCCGGTATAGGGTATAGGACTCTAGTATAGACCAGAAACAGGGCGTATGTCAGGTACGCTGCAGGTGTGTTGAGCTGGATGATGCTTTCAAGGCTGGACCGTTACAGCACCGCAGGGTGTGGATCGATCGCTAAAGCAGCACAGGGAACGAATAGCGCTGGAACAAGTTGTACAAGTTGTAACGGTGCAGGCGCAGGTGTTCGCCGAATTATGTAGGTACGCAGGGTCGTGTTCGGATGGGGAATGCGTAGGTCTGAAGGACTCCTTTTATGCTTCTCCTGATATGCGACTCTTCGTGACTGGGTAAAGAAAGTGGGAAGAGGAAAATGCGTCAGAGAAGGACAGAGAGGAGGTTATTAATGGTACAAAGAGAGAACTCGGGATGGATAGAGGATTTTCATCTTAAGAAATTTTGGGAACGTGGGAAGGGTCATTTCATCTTATACGTAGCCCGTTTCTAAAGCTGGGGGTAATACTAGACCTGTGCTGAGTGTCAGCCCAAGTACCGTACCTAATTATTTTTTTTTTCCTATTAATTCCTTTTCCAAGGGGAAGGGTCGAAAATGTGGTTCATTTACCAGTTCCCAAACTCGCGAGGACAGGGGTTAAAATGGTACACGGTACTTACTATTCTCATACGGAAATGGTCGAACATGGGTCTCTCTGACGGCTTTGCCAAGCTGCGTGCTATGTACAGGGGGGATGGTTATGGGTATGAGGATGAGATAGGTACAAGTACATCCCGAGGCCTGTACTCGCAGTACATGCTTGGTCTTTCGACAGGGTGATTTAAGTGATGAGAATGTGGTACTTGAGGTTTCTATCTATTTTGGGTACGGAGAGGGGATAGGACAGATACATTCGCGAGATAAAAAATTGTTAAAATAAAAATAAAAATAAAAAACGAGATAAAAAGAAAAGGGCAAAAATGAAAAAGGGGAATAAGACCAATGTACCTTGGACGACTTGGACCTCCCGGTTACTTGGTGTTAATGATTATGTACTATGCTACTTCGTAGTAATTAAGGCTGTTTCCTACTAGTAGCTGCGTTTCTTTTCCCACCACTTAGAGATATTACCCCTTTAGGCTTAGAGTGGCGTGTTCTCGAGATGCCTCCTCGGTTTACAGAAGACAGGGCGAGTCTCATCATGGTTAGGTACTCGAGTGGACCGGCCAGCGCACACAGAGACCAACTCAATGAAGACATGTTAGGTAGGTAGAGTTGCAGCTCTCTTGGGCCCATCTACATGATGTGTTCAGTATTCTCTGGATATGGTGTGATCCCTCCGGCCGATGAATCGCATTTGACTGGTCGTACACCTGGTGAAGTATTGGTTACCTGCGGTGTCGAGACGCAATGGCGTGGAGTCTGGGTTTGCTGACCATTGACACACATGGACATTGACGATGCAACTCGACAATGATAGAATTGAACAGCAATGCAGACTGGGGGCTGCGTCCCAAATTCTTTTTTTTTTCTTTTCCCTCTTCTACATGGCATGTAGAGTAGGATGTTTTTTCTGGCCCAACAGGGAGCTATTGTTCAAGGGAGATCCTCTTATCGTTTGGGATAATTTGCTCCACTCCGGTAATATTCCCCTTACGCTAAACAGGGCTTCAACCTGGCTCTTCTCTTTCGAATCTTTCTCGAATGCCTTCCTACCTTTGGCACTAGGAATCGACCCGGCCGCGAGTCTGGGGTGTGCTTGAAACTTGGCAGGCACTTGAGCCGCGATGGGAAACAATACAATATCATTTTTTTGCCTCCGTGGTATGAGTCGAATTTGAAATTAGCCCCAAGCGAGATACATCCATAATATCATGTATCTTGTATGATAATGTCTGAGAATGGCTTTTTTTTTTTCTTATTGGTATTATTAATTTTTCCTTTGTTAGTCAATTTGTGTGTGGTTCCTTAAATAGTTGTGCGCATGTACTCCCGTATTATTACATACTTAATATGTAATAAGTAATATGTTGTAGCAACAGTAGTAGTATGTTGTAGTAGGAGCACATGGCATCTTGCATTTAACTTTTTTTTAAGGCTTGGGATACATCAACTTTTAGGTGAGGACCCTTTCTTCTGCGGTGTAACGCAACTACGACAATTCAACCCGACTATGGAGAGAGCTAAAAGAGTCTACGCGAATTAGGTAAGCCTTGTCCGCCGCTACTGCTACTAAGTTATGTACGTACATGGAAGTATGCGTGTACCATAGTATGCATGTATGCAATGTAGTGTTAGTTGGCTTCAGCAGGGGTTGGCAAGCTTGTCGGCCCCATTTTCTAATTATCATAATCCAATACAAAACAATACATTAAAGGTAGTGTGTCTTTTCACTCAGATTATGCACTCGATGTTACCCACAGTAGCCTAAAGACAGCGGCGAGAACTTGGGTGTTTTCGACGGATTGTCGGCTCCATAAGCGGGTCGGCGGAACTAGGGGAAGGCGGAACGAGCAATAATTTGACAAAATCGCATCGGAATTTGGAGGGCATACATCTTCTCATACGTACGCCACGCCTGCTACTAGGTAGGTAGCTGACAACAATCGAGCCACAGGACATAGACAGTTCCAGCCGTGATACGTACGATTTGCTTCGTTTTCTCGTTACTATCCTGCCATATTTTGTTTACCACTGCGCCGTTGGCGTGGGAAATTGTCCGGGAAAGAAAAATAGCTACCACGGAGTACTTTATATTGTACGATATTGTACTGTGAGCCAACCCGCCAACCAATCATTTGTGAGCAGAGCGACGGGAAGGCTGACGATTGCTTTTGCATATGCAGTCTCTTTCCCCCCTTGTCTCCTGATACATGTAGCCATTGTCTCGCTTAAAATAACCCTTAGGGCTCACACCTGTGGCATGTGCTATATTACCAAATCGTAACTCAGAGATGGTGCCCCTATACTCTTAGAAAGTCGTCGTCACAACTCTTAACTCGAGCACAGTTGTTACTGGATACGACGTGCTTTCCTTGATTCTGTGCGGCGCTGCGAATACTTGTATTGAAGACTGTGGCTGTGAACACAGTGAGTCTTACACAAATGTAATGCACCAAGCAAATGACCGATTCATGTAGAAGTTAGTCTTGCTACGGATCTGTTCCCTTCATTTTTCTCCATATTCTGAGAAAATGAAAAGTTGACAAATTAAAAGGAAATGAACCTCATGTTTTTTCAGCTTGTTTCTCAAGGTGTACAACTAGTCAAATCTCGTAAAGCCTCTGCCACCTATATTGCGTATCCCAGGGCTACGGATCCAGATTCGTTGAACCGAGATTCGTCTGTTGTGAGATATTCGACAGGCCTAAGACGGTAAATTTTTCGAGGACCCATTGCGTGGGCTTGTCGCGCAGCCTTGCGCGGGACACTACCACGGCATGAGCACGGGTGATGCCGCTCGTACAGCACGAGAACGTGTTACCGAAGAAATCCAGCCAATATAGATCTTTTATGCTACTACGACAGCGAAGTGGCTGGTACCTAACCATGCAATTATTGTGTGCAGTTTTCCCAATCACTCACGCTCTCAGAACAGGGTATCAATGCGGTCAGGTAGCAGCATCGCAAGTCGGCTGCATGACTTACGGGATAGCCGCTCCGCGCTCTTGGGTAACGAGTAATATCGACGTAGCCTTGCTTCTAATACGCAGTACGCGGTCGGGAGTTGTACAGCACCTGTAGAAGTCTGATGACATGCATCCCCTTTCCCGTCTGAATCATCGATGACGATTTGGTATGTATGTCACTGTATGTATGTCAGCGAGCATCCGTAGGCGCTTATCTCATCAAATCGAGTTTGTCGGTTGGCCAACCCCCACGGGTATATTTTAGAATAAATCAACGTTGATCGCACTATCTAGACCTGTTTCAGCCCCTAAGCGATCGGGGGTGTGCAAAATTGGCTTGAAGTAGGCGAACTGCTCGCACGCCAATTACCTGATAGGGAAGGTTTCATGCAACCACATCAGTGACATTCTGACTTCAGCGCGGAAGAGGTCCCGTACTTCGTCCGATTTTGTAACCAGACGACGGGAACGACTTAGCGCGTTACGATTCGGTCGCTCACATGTTGACAGGTCATTGTAGAATTTTGCTGACAGGGGGATGCGACATTTCGATATCCTGAGAAGGGTGAAAAAGTCCTCTAGCTGCAGCACAAAGGCATGCGGAGTTTGGCGAATACTATCTGAGTAGATACACCAGAATTGTACAATTCTCGTGATGCATCGAACCTAAGAGATTACGACTCGTTTTTGGCAATGGCACCCGAGACGACGACATCTAGTGAGGCTGAAGAATCGGAAGTACCCAGCCCCGGAGATGCTGCAGCAGCCGAGAGTCATCGCACGCAGTAGTAGCATGAATGCACGATACTGTCATACCCCAAGATTTGGACGAATTGCTAGTGTGGCTCTGTTGATGACGAGTTTGCCATGTCACAGCTCCTGACATCGACGAAGTCACTTACCGAGGCGTGGCAGCTGAAGGCCGGTCCGATTGGCGCTAACATCTGATATGGTGTTTAGATGCTTACCTAGGTAGACATACTACCTCGCTATAGGCAGAGACTCGCGGAGGCTTGGCCCTGAAAGAGTCGGACACCATAGCGTAAGTTGACCAACTAATTCGTAGGTTAGGTATGGCAGAAAGGAAGATAATTCAAAATCGACAAACATCATCCCCAAACACTTCTCGTCTCCCGAAACAATTTCAATATAACGGCTTACGTAGACTTCGGTTTGTTTACATCCAATATGTATGTACCTAGTGGGTACGACATGACAGGTTGACGTATATGTAGATAGCCAAGACGGCGATGATGACAGCAGCGTCGAATTCTCCCCGAGGAAAAGGCAATGTGCAGCGGGATATTAGAACTGCCGCATAACAAAGAGGACATAAGAAGCGAAATATTTGTCGTGTGCGACTTATGTCGGGTTGTTTTGAGATTTAGATGAATCCTAGGCAATGAATGGGTAATGAATGATGATCGTCAAGGTGGCCTTCGTCTGAACTGGATCGAATCCAAATTGTCGGGCGGCGACTTGCATGGAGTTTCTCTTGCCTTGCCTTACCGACATGTAGGTACGATCTATCTTTTCGGGGTACATACAGATTACTGTATTCAGCGGGTACACCAAGTGCTTGGATTCCTGGCATCGTCAGTTTTACTGCCTAATTCGAGGCAAGCATCGAAGCCAGGGTCGAAGGGGTGCATTGAAGACCATATGAAGAATGGATGGGATGGAGTTTTCTATTGGGGCTTCTAGAAGAAAATTAGTGGAGACTTCCATGATCCTTGTGGACCCTGACTACCTAGGCACACTCGGTCGGTACTATATACCTGCCTCCTTAAATTATGAACCTAGCAGCCTACCCAAGTACCTATCTACCTAGTATATAGGTAAAATACAAAATAGCCATAAAGTAGCTTTAACCATTTTGCTTTGGACTAATTAACCTTTCTCCACAATCCCGTAACAGACGTTTAACTCTACTAGGAAATATACGTATCTTCATTACTACGTACATGGAGCTTGAGCATGGGTGGAAGTAGCGAATTCAGGGGACTTGAAATAGGGTCGACTTCTAGACCTTTCCCTCCATTTTTATTTCGCCATGGTACATAGTACGTACTAAGGGTCATTACCCACCGAAACGACGTCGATCTTCTTCATTTCGTTAACCAACTTTTTTGAAACTAGAGATTTCTCAACGCCAATGGGGAATAGATCTTAGCATTCTTCTGAATACATACCAGAGGCAACCGGATACATCCTGACATCCAAAGCAAACATCGCACCCTCCAAAAGACTACGTAATAGCCGAGTCGGTTTTATAGCGGAGAGGGCCTCTTACTAATCGGGCCACCCGTTTCAGCAGCCTTGAAGCGGTGGCACGACCTCGGATTTGCTTTCCTCACTTATCGTTCTCCCTCACGTGTTGTGCGAGCTTTACACATGATCCTCACGATCCTCTTAGCTTCAAGATGAATCGCTTGATATCAACATCCGTCTAGTCTAAGCGTATACACAAGTACTACGTCAGGGCATGGCTATGGAAAATGATACCAGATTACCTAGGTACATTTCGCTCAATTCAGAAGGACCGATATAATGCCATCATTTTCAGGGGATTATCAACGGCATGGGTACGAACTGTATGTATGTACTTGCTACAACAGTCGGCTGCTACTTGGCCCACTGGAGAATCAACTGCCACATGGCTCTCCACTCATTATCGCTGTTCCTGCATTAGCCAGTCAGCCCCAGTTACCTACTACGTACAATACCTTCTGAAAGGTACCCAAGTATTAACAAGGTGAGAGTCCCAAACCAAAACAATGACGAATCTGGCCCTTAGACGTCGTGGTACCTGAACGAAAATCTCAGAGATCCATCCTACCGTCGTCGTCGCCATCGTCACTCGTCATTGTACGTGCGTTAAGCTTGCTTCTGTGGATGTAGCTTCATGATCACCTACAGTACGAATAATCATGATTGGCCATGAAAATATTCAATGCCTACTACGGCCTCAATAAATGAAAACTCGGTTATCATTATGGCGTGGAATTCTTGAGCCAGCATCCGTGGTTTCTAACCAGTAGCCGCATATCGCGGTTACATCGAACCTCTACCTGGCTCTATCAAAGCGCCGCGCCGCCTTGGTGGACCCGTTGGAATGTGATGGCGAAATGGTTTCTTTCCATTGACTTGGCATTTAGCTAACGAGGAATATCTGTACACATTGGACATGTACGCAATTGACGCAGGGCGCAGTGTTTCATCATCATGTGACTCCTTGACCAACTATTCAATGAGCGTACAGCATCCATTTCCTCGGATTTCGTTGGTTAGAATATCACGATCATTCTCAGCCAATGGTTCACTTAATGCTTGAGGGTATGAAAAGGGGAAAAAAATTCACTGCATTTTTTTCTTTTTTCTTTGTACTAGACGGCGATCAGATTAGGTACCTGCCGCCCGCAGGTTCGTCACAAATCATACGACGGAATATGGGGACCATGGAAGTCTCCTCGACAGACAAGGGCCCCAAAACTTCTAGAAACTCCCTTCGAATGTTTATGCCAGCCTCATCGTCAAACTGAAAACTTGATCCCTTGGAATATAGCATCCACCATGGACCCACGATCGCTACGGCACTCAAAAATCTCCATACCCGTGGCTCGGCGTTCCCAGACAAGGGCATCTACAATATCGTCAGATTCTTATTATTCCCAAACCAACGGGTCCGTCTCTTGACCCACACTAAATCTCAGTCGATTACCATGCACAATGCACCTTATGAGGCATGAACGTACACGTACCATCGTAGATGAACGGATAACATGATGCAGTGAGGTCCCTTGGCCGTCTCCAGGCGGTTTCCCGTCGTCGGGATATGTAAAGACTGGGACTTTCTAGCCCTCCCGCGACAACAGCCTTGTCAGGGTTACCGAGGCTAAAGGATGATCATCCAATTCGACGGCGCCGTCGAGGTACATCCCGTAGTACATATTAGGAAACCCTTCCATCCGAGCTAAATCAGTCAGCATATGAGATAAACGTATTAAGATCTTCCTGAAAAAAGTCTCGTTCCCAACATTGGGGGCTGGGAATTCGATGTACCAGCAGGCCGGGTCACTAATTCTTGATTGTCTTGATGCTTGCGTCTATGCATTCTAGGGGCACAGAAGAGAGCACGTTCAACCAAGAGAGTCCTGCCACTTCTCAGCGAGAACTTCATGTGGAGCATTTCCTAGGGCAGACCTTACGGTTATCAAAAATCAAGGTGAAGTCCTAGGATCTCCCTACCTTGCCATCCCAGCGCCACGGACCCTTTAATGCACTAAATCAGGTAGGCGATGTGGGCCGCGACGAGACGGCACGCATCCGAAATAGCATCATATTAACCATGTTAGGTATTGGGACCCACGGGTGCATGACAGTAATTGATAGACCCACAATATCATTTCCAAAACCGCTACCTATTTCAAGCAATTCATCATCCATTTGTACTAGAACCCATTACTTAGTACTGTATCGAGGAGTTACGTACCTCGTATACAGTAATCGGATACTAATTCCACGATAACCTCGAGACCCATAAGAGATACGATGGTCAATGTTGATTTAGCATCGAGCTGTATCCCCCAGAGCCTGTTTATGGCTCCAGAAGGAGAAACCCATCACGGCGGGTAATATATAGTGGCCCCGGCAGTTCCATGCTCCAATGCCCATCGTCGGGATTTGGGGAACCTGTCACGTTCGATTCGGGTAAGGATCAGGCATGCCCTTGTCCTAGCCCGGTCGATGATGTCCCGTAACGCCGGGGAAGCTTCCGTCACGACGGATCAACCATGTTCGCCTTATGATTATTATCAAATTACGAGAGAAAATTTTCGCCCAGGGAATGTTGAGCTTTGACAACAGATGGGGTCATTACCAAACTCGCTTCCGCCTCCGAGCGCCATCGTTTTCGGCAACGCCATGGCCGGAAGCCATTGTTAGCATCGACGAACTGGTCGCCGGGTGGTCAAGCACGTCCCGGTACGCGTAGGACTCGGAACATAGCGCCTAGGAAGACTCGAAAGAAAGGGAGAACCAGCTCACCGGGATTTGTCGTCATTTCCCGAATCGCGTAAAATCTCTTCAAGCTTTTTACTTCGTTGACGCGATCACGGATATCACTGTCCTGCGACATGTACTCTTCGGTTTATGAAGAAGATATCGGGCTTCAACCAAGTCATCGTACCTTTGAACCTAGCCAGCAGCAGAAAGAAGATCGAAAGATTCCATTGGCACCTTCGAAAGCCTACATGTTCTCGACCCTCAACTGGGTGGGCCCTACGTCTATCACTCGAGATAGAACCCTTCGATTGGGTCGACTCCCGGCACGAGATAAAGTGTTATGGAGGGCTAGTCGCTCCGCCAACCACATTTATTTGGAGCCATGACTCATTTACCCATTTCCCGGGGATGAATAGGGGGTTAGTACTATGTAAACGTCCTACCAACCCCCAATTGCTCCATTCAATCCACACGTTGGTAAGTGAAGTCATAATAGTTCGATTGCCTGGCCAACTAATGGTCAATACAACAATCGCGGTTCTTATTTATCGAGTCGCCAGCCATTTGGGCCGCCTGTGCCACTTCGGTACCCAAAGGTACCAAAGGAAACAAAGTACTAATTGGATCTGTGCCATGGGCATACGTGTAGTCAATAAGATGGGGGACCTTCTCGAACGGATTCTACAGATTATTCGACATGGCTAAATTTGGACACAAGCGGCGCCATATTCTGCATATTCTGCATATTCCAATTGATACGGCTTTTGCTCTTTCTGTACATAGGTGATGGCTCGGTGGCCCGAAGTGTTCTAGTCGCCTACGTAGCATTCTAGCAGGGGTCGCCTGCCTGAAACGGTTATCGTTGGATTTAGTCGAGGCCATGTTCGGCCAAGGTACAGTACTGGCTACTAACTCCGACACAACCGACCAAACCGTCGGAATGGGCAGGATGGATGCAGCTTCATCGGTATGAAACTACCTCTGTTCTGAGGGCCTATATCTGGTACGTTATACGTGTATTGTACGAAGGCGAATCGTTCGAAATCTGAGGGGGCTGAGAGCAAGATTTAGGGGGTTGTACGACGGATGAGGGCATAATGAGCACGATGACTCGCAGCATGGCATCAGCCAATCTTGCGACGATAGGATGTAACTCCTGATCAAACTCAAGCCCAATGAGACTTTTCGGGAGTTAGGTTGGGCTGTTTTTCTCGTCTGTACAATTCATCGCCCATGTTGGCTACCTCCAAGCCTCCCGTGGTGCGACTTTGAGGCCGAAGAAGGATGGGGGTTTGATTTCTTAGCAGATTGGCCTCCGCGAATGCCGTATGTCGTATGTCCAGGTGGTGCGTGCTGCGTGCTGCGTTACTTAGGACAATCCTAAGCTTTTCCAAAGGAGGGCGAATATCTAGGTTATATCGTTAATTGGTAGCCTCATCTTCAACTTGACTTATTTATAATTCATCTAGACTTTTTCTACGGAAGTATGGTAGTATTTTGGAAATTTAGTGGCAGTGACGTACGAAGACTTTGTAAGCGCGCGGGTGTAAATGCAGCTAAGCCACCCCTTAACAACCTTCCCACCTTCTGCGGACGAAGGTGGTTCGTCGGGTACCTACCATACCTAGGAAAAATATACGAAGGTACAGGTACCTACCCCAAATGTCCCCAAATGTTCTCCTATTCTAAGCCACAGTTGGCAAGCCTCTTGGCCCCACCAAAGCTTTGCAGCTGTCCAGCAACAGACGGCAACGTCAATTCTCCCCCACCATCTATCTTTCTAGCTTCAACGTTGAACGTCCACCGACCCGGAAACACTCGAAAGAGCCTCACTAATTTCCGTCACACTCATTTTCGCGGTCACATGTCCACGTAGTCGAACCACGAGAACGAGAAGCAGGGCAAAGGCGGCAAACGTTTTATCCCTCTTATCCTAAGTCTATCAACTAGTCTCTAGACTTTAGGCACCAAGAGGAAGCGAAGCCTTCTATACGTTACCGTTACCTCCTCTGTTGGGCAGACTCGTTCTCCTTCTGGCTTTCGGGGCCGAGCGACCATGTCCATCATCCAGCAGCACACCCAGGCCTCGCTAAGCGACGCCTGGCGGACCATCAACATCGACGCTCTAGACCCGGACTCCTCCCAGAACTTCGACACTTCGACCTTGCACCCGCCGTTACCCGAGATCGGCGAGGCGGATGTTCGGCAGCTGAATGCACAGGTGCGGCAGCTGCTTCGAGGCGGTGATTCCGAAGGCGCTCTGAGGGGCTGCCTGGAGAGCCCGGTGTATAACGGTAGTGATTCTGCTAAGGTAGGTCATGACATGGCTATAGCCTTGGATTGCCGTGCTGCGAAGCCCGGGATGTATGAGAATTAGAGCGCTGATCATACGGCGGTGACACAGGATTCCCACATGCAGACCGTAGTTGAGGTTCTACAGTCAATCAAAGCTAGTGAGATGACTCCAATGCTTCAGAGAATCTACGGCTCAGAGGGCGGCAGTGAATTGCTGGATGTGCTGATGAAGTATCTGTATGTCTTCTTCCCATTCCTTAACTAGGATCATTATCAAATCTAACCACACATATAGATACAAAGGTATGTCGGGCGGGTCGTCGGGCGGATCGTCAAGCGGAGGACTAAAGACTCCGGCCCGGGGCTTGACGCCGCAGTCTACGGGGTTCAGCCAAATCGGTTCAAGGCCTATTAGCACAAACGAGTCTACGGGAACGGCTATGAGTGTATTGCTAAGCTGGCATGAGAAGGTTGTCGATGTTGCTGGCTTGGGTAGCATAGAACGATGCATGACTGACTGGCGGAAAGTCTAAAGCGTTACGCCTCTTTAAAAATTGATGTTCTATAGAAATGGGATCACGAAGTTATTTACCTGCCTTGATATATCTTAAGTTTTCATCTTCCACAGCCACATATCTCAAGACACCATTGATTCTTAACCTCCTTACTCACCTACTTTGAAATCTCTTTGATTTCCAAATTATCTGTTCAGCTATGTGCTTCAAGGTATTTAAGCAATTAATCTTTTCGCTCGTCTGTGTTGAGATTTCTTGAGTTCTCATTCACTTACTTCATTACACAGATACTTCGATATGTCTTCAGCATTCAAGTTCACTTACACTACCTACCTACTAGGTACTGATATTCAAACCAAGCTTCCACATTAACTCTACATGCATTGACTCAAGTATACGCCGTATGAACCCGCTCCCCCGTCCCAAGCATTCTTCTCCGTATACGTATCAGTTATCAAGATGAGACGACATGATCGTCTGCTTTCGAATTGCTCCCTGCCCATCCAAGTAAGTACCTGCCATACCGGGAACTTCTAGTAGCGAACGATAATTGATTTATTGACCTACCCAATACCAATTAATAACTCTATAGGTTTATCAAGCTTGGCTCAACGTATTAGTGAAGTGTTCCACAGATGGTGCTAGTGTTATTGATATGTGACTGGTGTGTTCGTGTGTGTGGAAAGGAAGAGGGGGAAAAACTCTAAGTTCTCCTTTTTGCGAGTGTTGGCCTTGGTGTACTGCAAAATGTGGGTCATTTTGTTATTGTTGTTGCTGTTGTTGTTATAGTAGGTGTTGAGGTGATGTTGAAGATATCAGGATTTTCAAAATTCGAAGCTTGTAAGATGGTGCGTGGGTTGTATGGGGACTGCAGTCTATCGTCGACCTTGCCGTCGCATAGACTACCTGGCTGACAGCCTCGAGAATTGCTACCTTTTTAGCCTAGTAGCTATCTGCTAACTTAAATGGTGAGCCGTGATTGCTAGGCTAGACTATTTCCTGCTACTAATGGTACATAGGAATTTGTAAACCTGCTTGCTTCCCACTGATTAATTGTTAATATCCAGATTATTACACACTTACATTTCCAACCCTTTCCAAAACAACCATCTGCTAGATACAAACGTACACGGTGGATGGGCTTTGCGCTTTGGAACTTGCATGCTTTGAAGACCTAGTTACTCATTCTGATGCACGTGAGTTCTATCTTCTATCCTATCGTCTACTCTTCCAACATCTTTCTTTTATATCTTCGTCAGTCGAGTACGTCTTTCTTCACTTCCCAAGCTGCATGGGTCAAGGTCTTCGTCAATATTCACAGTATCATCGTCGCTTATCATTTCCATCACCAGAAATCACTCACCAAGTATTCTCCTTTACCGACCCCCTTCAGCACGCTGATACCTAACGTAAGTGAGCTCCCAAGTCGTAATATATATATACCATTAGGATCTCCTCTGCTACTACCGATTTCTTTTTTCGTTATCACGTCAACTTCCTCCTTGATTTCGATTCTTTAGGATTCGAGAACACTGCTTACTCGCCCTCTCCACCCTCTTAGGAAATCGGGAACACTGTCGTGACAATGGAGTTTGAATGTTCCGCATGTCACCATCCCTACGCCACCTATGATGACCTACGTTTACATTGGTCATCTCATGAGGCCCAGGATATCGTCCATCATCGTTTACCCGACTGTTGCAAAAATATCACCTCAAGATATTTCATGATAGTCCATACCCACGATCGCCGATATCACAATATTTGTGGTCATTGCAAGCAAGACTTTCTTGGCCGGGAAGATCTGTATCGAGCACATGTCAACATGCTCCGCCGCTGCATATTCCCGAGTTGTGAGCATCTCGTTGAGCCATCCCAACTCAACAGCCATCTCTTTATGGCACACCACTTTTGTATTAAGTGCAACCTGGGTTTCAGATCCCCTCAAGAGGTCATCGACCATCGAGCAGACAACACAGCACACTTCTAGTGCAACGCGTGCCGTGTTGAACTGCTTACTAAAGAAGATCTATATCAACATCAGAAAACAGTACACCTCTTCTGCGAACCTTGTGGGAAAGGTTTCACGTCAGCTAATGACCTCGATAACCACCGGAAGACCGATGACCGCCACTACTTCTGTGCCTCTTGCAATATGCATTTCACGTCTAAGGCAGATTTGCACAACCACTTCATGGAACGAACTGATGATAACCACTTCTGGTGCGAGAAATGCGCCGTCCCGTTCATGAGCCACGAAGAGTTCCATCAGCATACCGTGGGCAACGAGGCTCACTTCCGCTGCACTAGTTGTCGCATAGACTTCGATTTACAGAACGCCCTTCAAGACCACAAGATGCAGAGCCCGGCGCACCATTACTGCAGCACATGCAACAAGGACTACGACGATGCGGAATTCCTGGATCTCCATATGCTGAAGGCGCATCATCAAGTTCTTGACAGTATGAGTGTAAGTCTACGCGAAAGCATTTGAACCTTTGGCCTAGGATGTAAGCTAATTGGTATTAACAGCAACGCGTCTTCTCGAGTATCGACCTTTTTCATCGAGCAATGAGACTGTATGTCGAAAGGAATGGGCGCGAGGCCGGGGCCAACTGATTGATCGAGGCACTATGATACCTGTCCTCTTCGCTTTTCGTTTGTCTGACTTACACATTTCTTATTCCTCCCTTGCCTCAAATGTATTTCCTCAGGGTTTCCAAGAGGCTTTAGGTTTTTTTCTATTGTACGAAAGTCAACATGAGAATGAACGGGTATCGAATTGAGGCAGCGGATGCCTCAGCTGGACAGACAACCAGAATGGACAAGCAGATAGTCACCAGATAGTCACCAGTAAATGAAACATATCCCCCTAACCTCCCCTTTCATTTTTTAATTTCTCCAATTCATTCAATACCTAGGCATGAGGATAACTACTTCTTCTCCAGAAGATCCTTTAAATTAATCTCCCCGCTCCCTCTCGGCAGCGGCTTAGCCTGATCCTCGGACTCCTTCCAACCAATCATATAGATGACCCTAAACGTAGCCGGTATCGTGCCGTCCTCGTTGCCGTGAAGCGCGCGGTATATAGCGTCGTTCGCCAGCAGCACATCCCTCTGGATGGCGCCCATCTCGCGCCCGAGCACCGCGTTGCCCTCGCCCATGGCGCGCAGGTCCTGCATCAGCGCGAACGTGTCGGGGTAGTCGACGACGACGTCGTCCACGTCGACGGTCAGCATCTTGAAGCCGGCGCGCTGCAGCAGGCCGCCGACGTCGCGCACGTCGGCGAGCGGCGAGACGCGCGGCGAGATGCCGCCGCGGCGCTCGGTCTCGGCGAGCTGCAGCGACGTGCGCAGCTCGAACAGGGTGTCGCCGCCGAGCATCGCGCCCATGAACGCGCAGTCCGGCTTCAGCACGTTGTTGACCTGCGCCAGCACCCCCGGCAGGTCGTTGATCCAGTGCATGCTCAGCGAGCTGAGCACGAGGTCGAACGTGTTCGGCGCGAACGGCAGCGTCTCCTCGTCCGGCAGCACCTGCCGCGTCATGTTGATCTCGGAGTTGAAGGGCTGGTCCGCGTCCCGGTATAACAGCGTCTGGGAGGAGTCGACGGCGAGGAGGTGGCCGATCTTGGTGGCGAGGGGGTCGGTGACGGGTTCAGGGACGTCGGGGTCTGGGTTCGGACGCGTCAGGGCCCGCGCGATGTTGCAGGAGTTTGCGCCGAGGTCGAGGACTTCGGGGTAGCTGCGTTTGATGTCCTATTGTCCTTTATAAGTAGTAGTTCGTATGACATAGTGATATCAAGGTAAGCGCACAAGCAGTCTATCACACAGCCGGATGGCCACTTCGTCTTTCAGATAGTCGGCCACGCGGCTATGTTCGACGTCGGCGGCGGCACGCTCCTTCTGCAGCCATTTCGTGCGGCGGTTGAAGACCTGGTGGACGGGAGGTGCCGCCGCTTGGAAGGCGTACGATCGCCGCGCCGTTAAGCTTATCGTCCCTCCTACCACCTTGATACCCCGCGGTAGTAGTACGCTAGATCTCCGGAGATTGCAATTCATTCTCCTAGATCATCAATTGGCCACTTTTCACATCTTCATTATTGAAGCTAGACAGACTAGAGGGAGCTTTCGAAATAGTGTGGATCTCATTGGCTGGTGACGTCGAACATTGAAGCTGGAGAAATGGAGTCGGTAATATCGATAAGTAAGGTACGGATGTACATCGATATTTAAGTTTCAAGCCACACTTCCAGGGAAGGTTACCTAAGACAGCTAAGGTTTATGTACGATTGAGGCGTAAAAATCATGTGGCCCCACTGGAAGAACCTTGGAAGATTGGAAGGTGTGCTCCAGTGGTGTTGTGGTGCTGGTGCTGTGGGTGTGCTCCTCTTTCGCCGCTCGGGGTTTAAGACATAAGGGCCGCTTGCCAATTCAATTTACACATTTGTTCCATATCTGTCCCTGACCGTTCCTGACATTGATCCATGAATCTTGCCAATCCTTCCAATGTCGTGCCACCAAGTCCGAATTTTTAGAAGTCGACAATCCTGAATCATCAATCGCCTGGCCAATCCGACCACCGTCTACTCGATAATAAACCCGTTGACTGTTGACCGTTGACCATCGACCGTTACTGTTCCGCCGTTGCTTAACCTTGCAACCCCTTTGTCCGCCTTATAACCCATCACCCACTACCCGCTGCCCGTTGCCCTGGTCACGTTCGACCATGTTTATAGACTGATTAGGTCTATCATGAGAGCCGCATCCCTGAGCGTGCTTCTTTTAGATATTGGACCTGGCTTTATACACTTGACTTCGACATCTTCGTATATAAACTAGTTTCGCGTGCTACTGCTTTCTTTTCACTAGCGGATGCGATAGGAATAGAGGGCGTTTTGTAAGAGTAGGGAATACTTCGTTGCGACTACAACATGGCTTCTTCCGCTGCTGCCGGCTTCCTCGGCCGGTCGAGTAGTAGTAGTTCAAACATGCGAGGCCTCGTCCAATTCATTGCCGACCTACGAAATGCGAGAGCTAGAGACCTGGAAGAAAAAAGGATCAACAAAGAGCTCGCAAACATCCGGTAGGTGGAAATGGCCTTCCACGACCGCCATTGAATATGACATTGCTAACCCGTAATCCCTACATCGCAGACAGAAGTTCAAGGGTACGCTATGATTTGACTTGATGCGATTTCTAATTCTTGGCGCCGTGTCGGTATCTCGACGTCGAACCCCACAGCTAACAGAGTATAGACGGTAACCTGAGTGGCTACCATAAGAAGAAATATGTTTGTAAAGTATGGGAAAGATCAATTCGCGGCGATACCGAACGACCGAATCTAACATGCGTATAGTTGTTGTATATTTACATACTAGGTTGGAATGTCGACTTTGGGCACCTCGAGGCTGTCAACCTTATTTCGGCGAACAAGTACTCCGAGAAACAGATTGGATATCTTGCCATGACTCTCTTTCTGCACGAGAAACATGAGCTGTTGCACTTGGTCGTCAACAGCATACGGAAGGACCTCCTCGATCATAACGAACTCTTCAACTGTTTGGCTCTACATGCAATCGCAAACGTAGGAGGTCGGGAGATGGGAGAAGCTCTGAGTTCGGAGGTCCATAGACTTCTAATTTCACCGTATGTCCGATGGGTCGTCCCCGACGGTGCTATTTGTATCATCTAACATTCAACATAGGACTTCGAAGGCGTTTGTAAAAAAGAAGGCTGCCCTCACTCTCCTCCGTCTGTATCGCAAGCACCCGGACATCATTCAACCACAATGGGCAGAACGAATAATATCTCTAATGGACGACCTCGACCTCGGAGTGGCTCTCTCGGTTACGTCCTTGGTGATGACCGTTGCGCAAGATAATCTGGACCAATATAAGGGTGCCTACGTCAAGGCTGCTTCGCGACTGAAGCGGATATTGATCGACAACGACTTTACTCATGACTACTTGTATTACAAAGTTCCTTGTCCTTGGATTCAGGTCAAACTGTTACGGTTGCTTCAATATTTCCCGCCTTCAGGTATGATTTACTAAGATGACAGGAACTATTCAGCACGGATACTGACTTTTTGAATAGAGGATAGTCATGTTCGCGAGATGATCCGGGAATCGTTGCAGAAGATCCTAAATCTGGCTATGGAGACGAATAAGAACGTCCAACAGAACAATGCTCAAAACGCTGTTTTGTTTGAGGCTATTAACCTCATCATCCATCTAGACACAGAACACGCGTTGATGAAGCAAATATCTACCCGCCTAGGCCGCTTCATAACGTCTAGGGAGACGAATGTCCGATACCTGGGTCTGGAAGCCATGACTCACCTGGCAGCTCGAGCCGAGAACCTCGATCCTATCAAGCAACATCAAGAAGTAATCCTCGGATCCCTCAAAGACCGAGACATCAGTGTGCGCAGGAAGGGTCTCGATTTGCTATATAGTATGTGCGATTCGACCAATTCTGCGCCGATTGTCTCAGAGCTATTGCACTATCTACAAAATGCCGACTTTGCTATTCGAGAAGAGATGGCTTTGAAGATTGCGATTTTGACGGAGAAGTACGCTACCGATATTCAGTGGTACATTAATGTTTCTCTTCGACTGGTAGCCGTTGCGGGAGACCATCTTAGTGACGAGGTTTGGCAACGAGTTATCCAGATTGTGACGAATAATGAGGAGCTGCAAGTCTATGCGGCGCATAATACCCTTCAACACGTCAAGCAAGACCATTGCCATGAGACACTAGTAAAAATTGGTGCCTATATTCTTGGAGAATTTGGACATTTGATCGCGGAGGAGCAGGGCTGCAGTCCCATTGAGCAATTCATGGCGTTATCTAGAAAGCTGCCTGCTTGTTCTTCGAGTACACGCGCTATGATTCTGTCGTCGTTCGTCAAATTCGTTAACCTGTTCCCTGAGATTAAGCCTCAGCTTCTTCACGTTTTTGAGATATATAGTCATACATTGGACCCTGAGCTGCAACAACGGGCGTATGAGTACTTGACGCTCGCTAGTCTCCCAACGGACGACTTGCTTCGTACGGTTTGCGACGAGATGCCGCCCTTCCCGGAACGGCAGTCTGCGCTCCTTTCGAGACTCCACCAAAAGCACGCCGGTACTAGTGACAAGCGGACTTGGGTGGTTGGTGGCAAGGATGCAAACAACGACGTCTCAGAGCTGAATATGGCTAAGAACCCCGGCTTGAGAAGGACGTTCAGCTCTAATGGCCCGGTCGACGGTAACGGTTCGGCAAATGGTGCTAACGGCCATTCTAATGATCTTGCCGGTCTCGACATGAATGCAGGGCCTGTCCCTGAGAAGTTGCTCAAAGCACCAAACTTGGCTAGCGCTGCGCATCTATCGCCTGGTTGGGAGTCAGGTTACAACAAACTGTTACTTAAAGCTGATGGTGTGCTCTTCGAAGACGGGCAGATCCAAGTTGGTATTCGTTCCGAATACAGAGGACAGATGGCTTGTCTCATTTTGTATTTCACGAACAAAACACCAGCTACCGTAAGCTCCTTTACAACGACGCTTGACTTGGATCAGAGCGAAAAGGAAAATTTGACGTGGGACGTCAAAACCATGCCCGACAGCTCTATTACGAATGGTGGCCAATCACGGCTAATCATCATGTTCGAGGCAAAGAAGGTCTTCACCAAGAGCCCTACCATTAGAATAAGTTACCTCGCGGGTGCCTTACAAGCGCTCACTCTCATGCTTCCCCTTACCGCCCACAAATTCATGGACCCTGCAGATCTTACAGCAGATGATTTCTTCAAGAGATGGAAGCAAATCGGTGGCGCGCCGCGTGAAGCTCAACAGATCATCGGCCTCGCCCCAGGGAAAGCCGGGTCCCGAGAGATCACCGAGTCTTTTGTTCGCAAGACTATCGAAGGATTCCGTTGGGGAATATTAAGGGGCGTTGATCCGAATAGCAAGAATTTTGTCGGAGCAAGCGTACTCCATACCTCTGAAGGAGGCAAGTTTGGCTGCTTAATGAGACTAGAGCCAAACTATACTTCTCAGGTAAGGCGAATCAAAGAGAATATTCCCTATTGGGCTACGTCAGCTAACAAGATAATAGATGGTTCGACTAACAATTCGGGCTACGGATGAGAGCGTGCCTCCGGTGCTCTTGAAGTTGATGGAGGAACAAATGTCAAAAGGGGCCTCAACAGTACCGGAATTGCGGGAGGGACCTACACGGCGGGAGATATCAGATACCTTCAGTAATATAATGGTGCAGTAAAGGACCGGTAGAATAAGAGGAAGACAGAAAAGGAGGCGATGGTGCCTTGGAAGGGGTTTCAAGAAGAGTTATGATTCCAAATTCCAGATTCCACTTTGGAAAATTCCAGTTAAGCAAGCTATGCGGTATTTGTGCATTTCCAACCCGAGCGAGAGAGGAGTTGATTAGGTAGCATGTGGTCAGAATATCTCATGTGTAGAAAATGGGCGTTTACCCCTTTTTGGTCATTGAGTATTCGAATATCCTTATATATCCTTAGGGTAATTGGAAGCTATATCACCTCAAGGTTTTCACAAGGTACCAGAATACATACTGTGTGCATTATAATGCTTAAAGTTTATCATTGCGACAGAGACATGGTAACACAAAGAAAGGGGCATCGACTCCTTATGATGACCCCTTATCACTTTCCTGTTCAATTGAGTTCGAGAAACATACTTCATCGTTCCGTTTACAGCAGCAGCTCTGACTATGCCGTCTGATAGAGTTGCGAGCCGATACAACGATCTCCGTGACGATGGTTTTTGGATATGCCATTGAGTCCAAGGCCAAGTAGATCTCTTATGCGACGCCCTATACGCACCTATTCGACATCATATATCTCGCCGTTCGTCGACCTAATTAATGCGAGGATTGTAAACTAGCACTCGCCTTATCATCTTCTTGGAACCTGCCCTACTATTCTTCCTGGAATTCTTTTCCTCAAAGCCTAAGCTCTCCCCAACATCCACACACCTACACTCTCATCCATATTCTACCCACCCTCATCTTTCATCTCAACTATCAGTTCCATCTTAAGTCGAGTTTAACCATTCACTCGATTTTAATTTCATATTTCCCAGTAGGTTCGTAGAGATTTCCAGTCAATGCATGATTCCGGTTGCGAACTCCACCAGTCCACTTCCCGATCCCATTCTCAATTCCCATCGGAGTCGCAACAATCGCAACAAACGGAATCAAGCTTCAAATCCCGAGACTACGATCTAGAAGACTCGCAACGGGACGTCCCTCAGGCGCTTCTCTTCCCACATTCTCTTGGCACCGCTGCGCCTGGACGACAGGTCTTGTTGCGACATCAGAGAGTCATCCTCGCGCCACCTACACCACCACCCAGTATGACGGGAACAGTTGAGCGTGAGATCATTGATGAGAAGAACGGAGGCATGATGCGTATGAAGATGGAGCGAGTCAAGCGCTGGTGGTTTGGTAAGCACATATTTCTCCCCTTTTTCCTCTTCTCCTTCCTAGTCTCAATTTCATGAATATATCTACGCTTCATGTAAAGATGATGACGGAGTTAAATTGTGATAATGATCGCGATGAGGCAAATTTGGTTTGATCGAGAATGCGATGAAAAATGCTAACAGATTCATATAGCGCTGAAGCAGCGAGCCACCCCCAAGCTATTCCCGCAGGCGTGGCTCCTCTTCTTGATCATCATCTTGATCGCCGTTGGTGCTATAGTCAGTAAGTAAATCCTTGCTTTCCGCTTCACATTTATGAAACCAGACTAATCCGAATTTCTGAAGCCGGTTGGGGTGGTCTGGCTGTCGAGACGGTGCGCCACCAGACGTTGACTCGACCTGCTGGTTCGTCGGCCACTTCTGCGGCGAGACCTGCGCCGCCTAATCTAGAGGCTAGTGCGTCTACTATCACTTCAAGTGGTCTGACGTGGTACAATCATACGGGATACGGTACGGCGATGACTGCAGAAGGTAAGTTCTTCGATGCTGAATTATACGCACCTGATATCAACTTGTATATAAGAAAACTTATGACTGACTGATGCTCAGGTACAGCTTGGTCTCCTCGCTCAACGTTGACGGTTACAGGACACCGTGTCTCAGAGTCGTATGCGGACCTCACTACTACTCAAGCTTCTACTCATGACCATGTGGTAAAGAAGGAACTCGTCACCGACTATGATATCACTCATGTCACTACTATGATCACCGAATGGGTTACCAGCTACGTCACCGCCGTGACGGTTGAAACCACTTCCCCTCACAATACCGGCCCCGGTATGAGCGTTGCCTCAGTAGCCTCAGCATCGTCTACGAGTTCAGAGTCTACGGTGTCTCACTCCACAGCCGCCATCACAAGTGAGAACCGCATGTTCTGTCCTGACCCTCACCACCCAGGCGCCTGGACACTCTGCGCTCCCGACCACGACAAGGCCACCGCTCTCGGAGTCATCAGCACCGCGGTCCCCAACGCCCCCGCGGAATCATCAGCCCGGCGCTGCAGCTTCAACCTGTTCACGCTGATCAAGACGGTGTGTAAGGGCATATGGAAGCTGCTCTTCCACCACGACGAGGCGCGCGCGGAGGCGATGCGCCACGTGGAGCGCTACAACGTGCTCGAGCTCGGCTGCCGATGCAACGATTTGCAGCGGCTGGCGCTGACGATGGTCGACATCATCGAGGTGCAGCAGCGCATGCTCGAGGAGAAGGACGAGCTGATCGCACACCAGAAGAAGCTCGTCGATGACCAGAAGCTGGTGATGGACGATCAGGGGGCGGTGATCGAGTGGAATAAGGGCGTCTTCGTGGATGTGGTTGCGTTCATTTCAAATTTGAAGAATGATACGGCGAATACTTTGAAGAAGGTGCACGAGATGAACGGAGGAAACACTACGGGCATGTGAGTGCCGTGCCCTTGGTATCTGGGGTTGGTAACGGATGGGTATGGGAATGGGAATGGGGGATCTTGACTTGCTATAATGAGTTCGATGAGTTCAATAAGTTGGGGTTTGGGTTCTTGAGTGAGCACTACGGACCTGAACTGCAACTGGAAACGGATATGAAAATAGGCAATGAGCAATGAGTTTATGCGGATGGATTATGACAAACGGCCTACAATTTCCTTAGGCTATAGCCTATGATCGTGGTCTATGTACGATCAAAAGGAAGGCAGCCGACTGGACGGTCGTGTATGCAAGGCACCAGGTATTAATGGATGGCTATAAGCCCAACTCAAGTTTGACTGTCCCATGGTATCGTATGATTTGTTGTTTGTCTCGAGCCAATCGTCAACCTTTTCCGGCCTATAGGAGCATACTGACCGTCGTAGGGCCCCTGTCTAAAACGTGCTTCGGCTTCGTTAGGTCTCAATACATGATGCTCCCGAGATTCGATGAGCCAATTGTTGATGTTACCGTTCCGCTGGGCGTCCAATGCTGTGACTGTGTATATGGGGTACATGTGGTATGTTACGTTATAGGTGATCGACTGAATACCGTAATTCGGGTTCGTTCGTCCACTGTATATAAATATTTGGTTATAATTATTCTACAACTTTCCTATTGAAATCCAAGCCTTCTCTATTCTCTAAGTGGTGACGAATAGGAGTAAGTACATTATATACGTATCTAGTACCTAGATAGTCGTAGAAGCGAGACAGTTGACTTATCATCGATCCTTAAACCGGAACAAGCCGAGGGGTATACCCCAGCAGCTCTCCAAACTCGGGCTACGTCGGAGCTCCGATCTTTTCTATCACATTTCTAGAGGAAACTACCGGGAGCCAATAGCGGGGCTTCGTCCCACCACGCCCGCTACGGATATTATCGTCCCTCTTTCCTCTTCGATGGCGTCAGAGGCTAAGGTAAGGGTCGATCTACCTATCTCCTACTATCTCCTATTTTAGCTGCAGTAGGCAGTAGGGGGAGCAGCGCTTCCCATGCCTTCCATTGCTATCTTTCCCGTCCGCGCAGCTGCCGGCGTCTCATATTAATAATCTGCCGTCCCAAGACTATACCGCATACAGGTAAGCTAAGTTCTTTCGCTCTCCGAACCGGGGTAAATTAGTATCTGCGTGTGAAGATATGATAGACCGGAAAGCTCGAATGTAGCACAAATACATTCCAAGCCCGTTTTCCGTTGCTGTGTACATATACACACCTACTCTTGTGCTGTTCCCCTCTTTTTTGCTGGTTTCTCCCTCATTTTCATTCTCATTCTCCTCTTAATCCGCAACCCGGTTCGTAAGCTCAGCGAGTAGGTAAAAAGTAAAAGAGAAGGAAAAGGAAAGAGAAAAACCATGGCGAGCAACGGAAACGGCGTCAAGCAGAACGGCGACGCGGCCGAGAACGGGGATGGGTGGTACGACCCGACCAAGATCTGGACGACGCTGCTGACGAACCGTGCGTACTTCGGCGGACTGCTGGTCCTGCACCACTCCCTGCGCCGGCACCGGAGCAAGTACCGGCTTCACGTTATGGTGACCCGCGCCGTCGAGGAGGACACGGAGTACATGGAGGCCTTCGCGGCCGCCGGTATCCCGACGATTGTCGTGGACAAGATTGAGCCGGCGCCGCGAGACGGGAAGATCAACAAGGGCACGTGGGAGAAGCTTGCTCCGTGGTCCTTTACGCAGTATGAGGTATGTCTTTCAGTTCTCTCCCTTCCGGGGTATATACGTACCTTACCTATATATGCACCGAATAAATATGCCGGGAAATAAGCAGCTGACTTTACCACCCAGCGAGTCGTCCTCCTAGACAGCGACCAGGTGATCCTGCAGAACATCGACGACATGATGGAGGTCGAGATCCCGGAGGGCTGGATCGCGAGCACGCACGCGTGCACGTGCAACCCGCGGAAGCTGCCGCACTACAGCAAGGACTGGGTGCCGGCGAACTGCGCGTTCACGGCGGCGGACCAGGCGACGGGGGCTCCGGCGGCGATCACGGCGCAGAGCCCGAACAACCACCACCTGCTCAACAGCGGGACGGTGATCGTGCAGCCTTCGGAGAAGCAGTACGAAGACCTGATCCACGCGATGAACACGCACCCGGACGTGCCCAACATGATCTTCTTCGACCAGGACCTGCTCGCGATCGTGTACCGCGGCCGCTGGAAGCCGCTCCCTTACCACTACAACGCGCTGAAGCCGATGCGGGCCTGCCACGCCGGACTTTGGAAGGATGAGGATGTGAAGATTCTGCATTATATTTTGAATAAGCCGTGGAAGAGCCGGAAGTACGACGAGAACGATACGATCGAGTCGACGCACGGGCTCTGGTGGGACGAGTTTGCGAAGGTGGAGAGGGAGTGGACGGAGAGCGAGGACGCGAGGAAGAGGGAGCTTTGGAGGAGTGTTGTTGTGCCTGTTGTTGCGCAGGAATGAATGAATGAACGTTTTATCGAACTTTCCGGAGAGTAGAGGGACGGATGATTTAGGCGATGAAGGGCATTTTCGTGACATTGGAACTTATACTATACTGAGGCATAGCGTATACATCCGGGCCGGGCAATAGGCCAGAGAAAGTGGGAGTGTGAGGTTATCATGGGATACATTCATAGCACTCAGATTAGAGGTTACGAGCAATTGACGACGGCCCCAACGGCTGGATTGGCATGATTCAATCACTGAGAATCGAAATTCCTTTGCAACGATGACGATGAAGATATCGATTCAAATACTACTAAGTTAAACCCTACATAGGTAGTCTACTCCCTAATCTTAGCCTCGCTCTTCGGCCCCCTAACCCCAAATATCGTGCTCCCGACCCTCACCTCACCGCTCCCCATCACAATCGCGCCCTCGTAATCCTCGCTCATGCCCATGCTCAGCTCGAGCTCCCTATCCAGGCCCAGCTCCTTCTGCACCATGTCGCGCTGCTCGCGCAGCGCCACGAAGTCCTCGTTCTCGTTCTCGGGCGTCGTGGCGACGCTGCGCGCGATGGCGCCGATGGTCATCAGGCCGAGCAGGTGCAGGTTCGCCGACGACTCGACGAGGCGCGCGAGCGCGAGGGTGGCGGGTCCCGGGGCGCAGCCGGACTTGGAATCCTCGCCTGAGGTGTTGACTTGGATGTGGATGTTGAGTTTGGAGGGGGCGGGAGAGGAGGAGAAGGAGGCGAGGAATTCGCCGCGGTGCTTATCTAGGAGTTGCGCTTTCTTCTCCGTGTCTACGCTCGACACGCACCATAGGTTGGGGATCTTGGCTAGGTTCTTGCAGTGGCCTGGTTTATGGGTTAGTCATGCGTTTATGATGTGACCCCTTATTCCTTAATCTGTATGAAACCACGGCTTTTATGTTATGGAATAGAATCTTGTATTTTTATATTTAAAACATAGGATTATCTCATAGCAGATGACTTCTCTTCCCCCTTGCCAAGAGCCAAGATAAGGGAAATGGCATTTCTTACCGGACTGCAGGCCGCCGATGAAATGCCAGTGTACGCTACGAGGTAGCAGCTCAGCCTTTTGGCTCAGTTCCTGGGCGTAGTTCTCACCGAAATCCAGCTGCGGCGGTGAGGCCTGCTGCATAAGCGCTAGAATGTCGTTGGCCGGCTTCAGTTTTGAGACGGCGACTAGGCGGACCTAGAGTAAGTAAGTACAGTTAGATATATATATATATATCATATAAAAGCCCATAAACGAATACGAAGGGGGAGCCCCTGACCGGTAAAGGGGCAAGGCGAAGTGACTTACATCTCGGCCATTGGCGACAGCGGCGATGCGCTCACGCACAGTTTTAATCTGTGATACCAGAGCAGCAGCTCTCTGAGGATCGATTTTCATATCTACGTCAGTCATCGTAGAGCCATATGCATAGATGATAAGTATATCGCTTCAAAACGATGACAGTAGTAAGAGATAAAATGGGTATCGTTAGGTACTAAATACTAAATAAAGATACGACTCATTGGTATTTCCTTCCTAATGGAAGGAAAAACTCAAAGAACTTGAGACGGGCGGTACAGTACATGTACTGTACATCTTACATAATATGGATAAAAGCCATCATCTTACTACTGGACGATGCAAAATGAAGGCAGAAAAATATATTTCGTCTTTTCTTCAAGATATACATTGTTTATTTCATCTCCCATGACAACGTTTCTACCGATATTTAAAAATGTGTATTGTAAGAACAGCCGGGAAAGTGATATCATTTTGCGGAATTTCGCACATGGCAATAAGGTTATGAGCGGCTAGATATCGATAAGATTATACTCCAGAATTTTGAAGCTTCCAAAGTTCTAATGTCCAATGGCGCGTTTTATAGTCAACTATTCAATTATATCAGTTTCTGCCGAATAACCAATCCCGATTTAAAGTTACGAATCGTCTGAATAAACAACTTCTCTACAAGCGAAACTCCGAGCATTTGGAAGGGGCACCGCTATTATCTGTCTTACCTGAATAGGTAGTAGACAGTCGTCATGGCAGACCCTCTGCTAACGTCGCTTTGTACCATCTGCCACATCCAAACACCTAAATACAAATGTCCTCGATGCGCAACGAGAACATGTTCCTTGGCATGTGTGAAGAAGCATAAGAAATGGTCATCGTGCAATGGAGAGCGCGATCCGACCGTATACATACCACGAGAGAAGTTGAAGACCGATGCTGGTATCGACCACGACTACAACTTCCTAACGAAGATCGAGAGATCAGTGGAGCGAACCGAGAAGATATTAAGAGAAGAGAAGGAGATATTACCACAGGAGGACAACACTTCGCGGCCCCCGCCTAACAAACGAGCACGCCTCCATAAGGGACAAAGTAGAGGAAGGGTTACTTTGGAGGAAAGCTCGCGAAGATGGGATAGGAACTCGATACAACGGATGCGACAGCTGGGCATCAACGTCTCATCTCTTCCCTATGGAATGGCTCGGGCGAAAGAAAACAAGACAAGCTGGAACAAGCGCACTAGGACTATGAATTGGCAGGTGGAATGGCTTGAGTGGAAAGATATTACTCTTATCGAAGGAGACAACAGCCAAGACAATAACCAAAAGCCGTTGAGACTCTTGCATAAAATGCTGGACGAAGTACCTCTCTACATCGGGTTTGCAGAGACTCAAGAATACCACCGTCAGCGACAACTTAGCGATCAAGAGCGCGCGAGGGAGAAGAAACAGAAAGCTTCGGAAGAAAAGAAAATACTCGCCGGAAGCGTCCAAGACGTGGCCACAACTGCTTGGAGTGGTGGAGAATGTGCGACGCAAGACTCAAGCACGACTACGTGGAACAATAAGACTCTAGGGTCCCACATAAGCGAGGAACTGAAGGACAAGTATCGGTTCTTCTATCTCAAGCCGAGGACACCTTCGAGAGAATCGCAAAAACTTGTCCCCTTACGACCGACAGACAACCTGACCAACATTCTGCCCGACCTCGATCTTGTGGAATTTCCCACTATCTGTGTGCTACCAGGTAACTCGGCAGCTATCCCCGATGGATACGTCGTGGTGGAAGAGAAAGTGGGAAGATCTAAAAAACGACAAGGCACTAGCCTCGTCGAATATCTAAGCGAGGAGGAGGAGGGTGAGAATATAGACGAGGAAAACAATGGGCAAGTAGACGATGATACCACAAGCAGCTCAGGTTCAGATTCTTCCGACATATCTGACTAGGTACTTGGTTAATAATAATATTTCCGAAGCCATTTCTGTAAAAAGTTGTGTGTTAAAATGCTTGTGGCTGTTCAGGACCTATCATTGATTGCGGCCATATTATTCTCGTAGATTTAACTAATAATGTTCATTATTATAAATATTTAGGGGAAGTAGAGTAGCAATCCAATATGTGAGTGATCTCTCGGGGATTATGTGACGAAATCGTGGTTTTTGAGGGAACACACATCGTATCCCATACAGGGCAAATAAATCAATATTAAGTAGTACTACTACCTGTATAGTATAATGATAATGATATTGACCATTTTGAAATTATCAAATATGCATTTATATAATATGTATGTAGAAATCAAAATTTGTGTGCCATATATGGTACCTCGTTACATGATAAAAAAGAGAACTTACACCAATCGTACTGTCGTACATGCACAGTGATCTGGATGTGGAGCAGCAGCTGCTACCACCTGCAACAGACCAGGTACCCAGCTGAAGCACGAAAAACCTTAAGCACCTCTTTTGGGATTGGTCTGATTAACCAACCGATCGTTGAATTTTTACTTCTTTACTAGAGAAATTCAGCCTCTCGTTTCTTTCCTCCCTCACTCCCTCAAACCTTACATCGTTCAACAATCAACCATATTTCATACTTTCTCCTTCATACTTTTTCCAACTTCAACACCAGGCGTTATACACTTTCCTCAATCTCAACTGTATCAAAATTTCCTCCTTGCGCGTCTAGCGCACATCTTTCTGGCATCATGTCCGAATTCCTTGGGTACGTATTTTCCCCTCTTCAATTCCAGCTAATTCTAGCTGATCCTTTCACGATGCACTTCGTGATACACCACTACGGCACACTTCACGATCCAGACTGCTAACCGACGCGATCATCGCACAGTTCACGAATCTCTCTCATATCCAAGAGCGATATCCGGTAAGCTTCCGTCCAGCCGTCCAAGTTGAATTGAGCTTTTCGTCTGACTATTTATTAGCTACTCGGGTATATTACACGAAATCAATTCTGAGGAGTCGACGGTCTCCCTCGAGAATGTCAAGTCTTTCGGCACCGAGGGACGCAAGGGTAATCCGGATGAGGAGATAGCACCATCTGATCAAGTTTACGAGTACATCGTCTTCCGCGGTAGTGACGTGAAAGACCTGCGCATCGAAGGAGCACCTGCTCCTCCCAAGGAGAACCAACCTCCCAAGGTCCCCGATGACCCTGCTATTGTGGGCGTAAGTTACATTGTTACATTTCATATCTCATACTTCTGTTACACGATATACCGTGTCCATATCATGACGAAACATTTCGGATGTAAACCTTTCATTTGACAGAAATGCGCAAACAAAATAATGTTGATATTTCCGTTGCCTTCCTTCTGATCCATTATGGACTTATTACTTGCTTCAAACAAACTATCGTCTTACGAGGCAATGATGTTAACCACATGTCCTAACATCTAGGCCCGAACCCGACCCCAAGGCCCCCATGGCTCTCAGGGCCCTCCAGGCGTCATGCCACCTGGGCCTGGTGCCCCGGGCTATGGCCAGAGCCCGTATCAACCGAACCCCTTCTACCCTCCTCCCCCTACACAATGGGGACGAGGTGGACATCCCGGTCCTGGTCCAGGCCAAGGCTTTCCTGCGATGCCTTACCCTCCTCCTCCGGGCTGGTTTCCTCCTGGCCAGGGCTTCCCAGCTGGTGGCCCTGGAGGTCCGGGTCCGTGGAATAGCTTTGGATACCCTCCTGGTCCCGGTCCTCAAGGACCCCAAGGACCTCCGGGCGTACCTGGTCAAGGCATGAGAGCGACTCCTCAGCAGGTTGGCAACAAGCCAGCCCCTATTGGTGCAGGTGTCGATAAACAAAGAGTGGGTGGTCACCCCGCGGTCGAGTTGCCTACCGAACCTAAATCTCTTGGACAGCAGCAAACAATCCAGCCTGCTTCGAGTGCCGCTCCAACCCCGCCGGTTGAGTCGAAGCCTAGTGCGGCTGAAGTCAAAGCTACTGCAGAATCGCTCTCCACGACGAATGCACCCTCGAGTAGCGCTCTCGAGAAGAAGCCTGTCCCGACCGGCCCTAAGAACAACCGAATCACTCCCGTAGTGCCTATTCCGCCTACGTTCGCTTCAAAGGCTGGCTCTCAAGTTACTGCCGCTGCCGCTACGACTAAGACTACAGGCGATCAAGCCAACGGTCCGGTTGCCGCCACCTCTCTCAAGGACGCAACCCAAGCTGCGAAGGCTGCCGTTGCTGTTGCCATGGCCAAACTCGACAGCACTCGTGCCGCCGAAGCCCCGAATCAAGCCCCGGTTCAGAATGGCAGCAATGTGATGGACAATTTGACCAAGAAGGTCAATGAGATGCGCATGAATGCCTCTCGAAACCCCACCAACGGTAGGGGTCGTGGACGCGGTGGACGCGGAGGTGGATCGAGCAAGGTTAACGTTCCCGACGCGGATTTCGATTTCGCGGCTGGAAACGCCAAATTCAACAAGCAAGATCTTGTGAAGGAGGCCATCGCTGGTTCTCCCCTTACTGAAGCTTCCAATGGACCCACGCCCGAGCAATCGTTATCCGAGGAGTCTACTGCTGTGCCGATTGCGTACAACAAGACTAGGTCATTTTTTGACAACATCTCTAGTGAAGCTAAGGACCGTGCCGAAAATGGAGGTCAGAAGCCCGGTGGACGAGAGTGGCGCGGTGAAGAGCAGCGCAAAAACATCGAGACTTTTGGACAAGGAAGCGTTGATGGTGGTTATCGTGGCGGTTACCGCGGCCGCGGTCGTGGTGGACGTGGCAGTAGTCGTGGCCGCGGATTCGGCGGACCTCGAGGGAGAGGAAACTCATTCCGCCAATCTTCGAACCAATAAGTAGTGCTGCATACGCTCAGCAGATGAATCTGCATCGTCGTCAGACAATAGCGCGATCCACGTAGTCGAAACGGCCATTTTCTCGACATCTTACTACCCGACTTTAATGGTTCCCATACAATACTTTTCCCGTGTATTAATACGGTTATTGCATGATGCAGTTTTTTTTTCTCTTTTCGATGCTCAGGCACTCAGTGGATAAGCACCGCAGTTTTTGCCATGTAACTCGACAGGCATGGTTTTCGTTGATGATCCAGCAACGGCGTAAGGATGGATTGGCAATGGAAGGTGTTATTCTCGCAATTCGCATCACGAGCATGAATGGCAAATGATTTACTGAAACGGAAAAATCGAGTCTGGAACAAGCAGCTCGAATGACGGATGGCTTTTGCAGACACTTTTGCAAGATGGCGTTGGTACGAGTACTCGGGGTTACCCTATTTTTCGGTAGCTGGCATAGTTGAGGAAACGGCCAAGGTGTGAGGGTGGATTTGGATGGTTGTATATGGGCTGGGCTCTACAAGTCAGTACATACGCTAGAGCAGCATCGACGAATACAGAACCGTCACCACCATTTTCTTATGACTTGAATGCAGTGATTGTGTAATGGCTGGGCAAGATAGTAGAGCTCATGCCCGAGTATTCAAACATTATTCTTCTCCCTTCTATTTAATTAACGTTCTTCCGTACTAATACTTCAAACCTCCGGATAAACGTCCCTACAAGTAGCCAGTTAGCAATTTAAATCCGGGTACATATAAGTTACAGCAAAAAAAAAAAAGGGGGGGGGGGGGGGGGGGGGGGGGGGGGAAAACAGGCG